GTAGGTTCTGGGAAGAGGAATGCCACAGGCTGGAATGGGCATCTCCCCACCACTGTTCTGTAATAAAGTTTTGAAATGTTGTTGCTGATATTGTTGTTGTTGTTTTGGACTACAACTTGAAATATTTCGGCATATGGATTCTCAGAGTTGTAGTACAAAAACAACTACACTCTACACTGAGATATTTGTCTCAGTATGCTACAGATACATTGATGAACCCAAAGAAGCTCATATTTCCTTTTAAACATAGCTACATTAGCGACTTCACCAAGTGATTATCCATTTATTCGTGAAGTTCTGATTTCATTGGTGCCACCCACAACAGATGCAGGGTTCAACTTGCAGCCCCTGCTCTTCATGTATTAGTTTTAATACTGGTGTGCTTCCAGTTTATCTCAGTGTTAAAGTGCAATGGTGCTATTCAGGGATTCATATTCAGCTGACATGAATCTGAAGACATAAATGTGGGAGCAAATAATGCAACCACATCATGAGGCACTAGATTAAAAGCCTACAGAATTCACGTAACAGTGACATCACCAGAAACTGCTCAGGATATCATATTTCCGGAAGTACAGCTAATGCTAAACTGCTAGGTATGTAAGAACTGAAGGGTAACACGGTATCCACGCTGTAATCCATTTCGTCCTCCCTTCTTTTGCTCTGTGGAGAAACCATCACAACAAGACACCATCTAATGGAAGAACTGCCCTCATCAACAGATGGAGTAAACTGCTTCTTGGCACCATTAGGCAAGTTCAAAATAATGTGTGCCTTATCGTTTCCTCACCGCCCAAAGGCAAAGCAATATTTGTATGACAAAAACAAACAATAAAACAGAAATATTTTTCTTCATTAACAAACCAGATGGTTTTTCATGCATGAATCAGGCATTCACAGCAACCGTTTAGCAACACTTTCACAGCGTGATCCCAAAATGTACTTGCTGGATTAAGGAGTCAGAATAAGTATACAAATAAGCAACATGTTATAGAACGTGACATTTTTCTTACATCACAGGTAAGCACATCATCTTAAATGTATAGCATATTTTTCTACATAGAAATCCTTCTTTAGTTTAAGGGTTTAATGAGAGGCACTAGATCACTGCAGTATATTTCAAGGGAAACCATGTAGTGGTTTCCCAGTTCCATGGTCATCTTTTTAAGATTGTTATGTGCAGGACTTGCTTAATCACACCATCATTTAGAGCTTCCTGATTCCACAAATTTCAATCTTTCATTTTTCTTTTAGGTATTTTGATGGCTTTATTTATGTTCCAGGTACATTTTTTCAAAAATCACCATTTTGGCATTTAGCATTAAATTAGGAAGTTATCACAAATGCAGTTTAACGGCATGCTGAAAGAATTGTTTTTTGATCAGTTGCTCTGAGGTGCATTCCTACTAGGACTCTACTGACGGTGTATTTCAAAAATGATGAAAGCAGTCCAAAGGTATGATTAACTTCTTAGTCCCTGCAATTTCCTATTGCTCTATTTGCCCTAGATTTTGGAATTGACTTCCTGCCTCACTGCAAAATGCATAGTTGCTCAGCTTGATAAATTGCACAAATTCATTTTTGATCACAGTTATCTTCTATTTACTACGTAACCAGCGAGGTTAATCATATGCTGAGGCAATTCTTATTCTACACACATACACTTCGTGCCCACAGTACTTTGCATATTTTACACACTATGAGGCTATGTCTGTCATCTCACAAAAATACAGCGAGGTCAAGCAACTCTCCTTGCATTGCATATGTCAGGGAGCCCCACATAATAAAAGAGACAGTGCTAGTCCTGACCCGAAGGTCCACCCATTAGGAAGGGACACATAGGAAGAAAGACTACACAGGGAGATCATGCTAATTGGACATATTCCTGGAGATGTGCACCCAAACATTTTGCCCTGCTTATGTCTTTCTGGACGAGGCTCTGCATCATTAGTTGATGGAAGCAGTGGTGCATCCCCACTGTCCCTTTCATTGCATGGACTCTTTTCCCACGTTGTCTGTGTAAAGGAAATACTATCAGAACACTTTCTCGGAGTTTGGGCATTTGACTCTGCCTGTTAAGGAACACTGGAGCTTAGAAATTCCCCCTTTTGACAGAGAACATTCTGCTTTTTCTATCTAAATGGTTAATCCCAGTTCTTCCAAAACAGATGACTCTGCCCCAGTAAACTGAGTTATCCCTAAAGAAGCAATGTTTGACCCAGAATTATAGCTTTGCTAATACACGGTAAATTAATAGCAAAATATAATCTTGAATTCTTTGGATGATGAAATCTTAGTTCTAGTTATTCATTTCTTAATTAGTTTTATGTGGCTATTTTATTTGTTTATTTTTAAAGCTTATATTATACATTTCCTCCAAAGAATTCAAAGCAGAATACAACATTAAAATAAAAAATAGCCAGAATCTATTGTTGTTCACATAAGATTTGCATAACTTGTCATGGCTAACTGTGACTAACTGATGAGGTGCTGGGATGTATCTCAGTTGCACAGTTAGGTGTACAAGCAGGGAATTCATCATGATGCACCCTGGCACTTTGCCACTTAGCTGTGGCACACTATGCAAATGTTTTGTGAACACTAGTATGATTCTAGGCAGTAAGATGTAAAACCATATTAATGCATATATATGGTAAACTGTGCCAAATGAGTATACTAGAAGAAATTTCTCATTCCATCCTCTTCAAAGGAAAAAATTAATGCTAAAACATATGCATTTGCAAAAGTGTGTACAAAATATGTGTGTTTTGGGGAAAAAACATTAAAAATAAGCACATTTTTGTGCTAACTAAAATAAAATTACATACTGACGCAGAGCTAGAATGGAACAAACTTAGCAACGGCAAATTGAGAACCTTAAAGTCATGTTTGACAGATTCACCAGTTTCTAGTTTAGAGCTCCTAGGCATGGATGGGCAATGTGGCTCTTAGAGTTGCCCCCATGTGTTGCCTCTAAGCAGGCAGGCCTCTGCTGGGCTGCCACTGAAGCCTCAGTGCCACCACCTCCATCAACATAAGCAATCCTACCTTATTGCTCTGGTCCTCGTGGCCCAAACAGAAAACATGGCTTATTGCTGCACCAGTGCAACAGCCCCCCCAACCCCCTTCTGTGGTGCATTTCACATTTTTTTGCACATACTGTAGGAGGACAAGGCATTGCATTACACTCCAAAACTTTTCCTTCCCCCGCAGACTACCAAACAAGTATACATGCATAATGCATATATTTGTACATGGCAACAGCTCGTGTGTGTGTGTGTGTGTGTGGTGTGTGTGTGTGTGTGTGTGTGTGTGTGTGTGTGTGTGTGTGGCCTGTGCCTTATCCCGCAGTGGCCTTCCTATGGGCCAACAATGTGAGAACCCTGGCACTTTTACAAATGTCTGGCTTTCGTAAGTGATGCCCAATTTGATTGATTTTGTACTTGTGGTTCTAATGAGAGCTGGTGTGGTGTAGTAGACAGAGTGTTGTACCATGACTCAGGCGACCTGGGTTCAATTCAGTCTCACTGGAGTGTGTGTGGCAATGGTATAACTACTCTTCAAATATCTCATACACCATGAAAACCCTACCAGGATCACCATGAACTGAAAGGAAGTTGACAGCATACACCACATATGCTTCTAATGGTAGAAGAAAACAAACAGGATTTCCCCTTTCTGTTCTAGACTATATAGACTGATCATAAAAGTTTAGGCATATTTGCCTCTCTGTATTCTCCTACTGCAAGATCAATTTATGCAGCTCAAAGCATTTACATTTTAATAAGTTTGCAAATAGAAGCAAACTTATATCTACTCCACCCCACCCCCCTTTTATTCCTGAGGTAGGAAAAAAGAGAAAGAAGAGTCTAAACAGGCCAGGGCCTGTCAGCAGAGGTGAGATAGTTTTGATGGTCTTCACCTCGGTCCATAAAGAAATGTTATTCACCCATGCACAACATATAATTCATCCTAAGTGGCAGCAGCCTCTGCTCTGGAGAAGCCTTTGACTGAGATGCCTTACAAAGTCAATTACTCCTTATTCTCAGGGAGGCGGGGGAATCTGGGCCAGAAGGGGTGAGATGCCTGCCAGGAAGGCATGGGGAAATTTGCTTTGTGTCAGCCCGCATGATACAGTATCTCATTTGTGGATAAATATAAATCTAGGTGGAGGAGGCTATGTTTGTGTGATTTTTTTAAAAAAAGGTGCTATAAAGTATACCTTCCAACAACATTCCAGTTCCCTTAAAAAATAAATAAATAAAAAACCTGAAATAAAATCAAGACTCTGTTAGAGGGCTGCCTTTCCTGACTCTGCAATTCCACTTTCATCAAGAGCTTCTTTAAGGTAAAGCAACCTAGTGGTTTACAGCCTCATTCCCACATGCTCTGCTATGGAAAATGGCAGAACAACTTAAAGGTTTCGGTACAGATTTTTACCTAAATAAGGACTGAACCAAACCAAAATTAATTACTGGACACAACCGTCACTGTTGAAAGAAGTATGGAGAAGAGCAAATAAAAATTAAAATAATTTTCATTATCATGTCACCATGTGTCGTTTTAGGGGGAAGAAAGAATCTAGAGAATGCCCCTAGTGAAAAATAAAATAAAATAAAATGGGAAAATGTCAAAAAGAGAACATACTGAAATAAATAGGATACTTATTGTTGAGAAATGAGGCTCAATACATCTTAAACAAATGCTAAACCTTGGAATTTACTGCACCATTCAGGCAATTTCATATCTCTCATTTCACGCCACAACAAGGGATTTTGCATACTCTATATGAAATACATGAGGTGGTTTTCTTTTTTCTTTTTTCTTTTTTGCAGTAATAAACTCCACACATGCATGACAAATCCAAGCATGCAAAATGTTTAACATCCCAGTTCAGAGATACTTTGGGGACAAAATCCGATTATGAGTTATATGCCACAATAAATAGGGCTCAGAGTTTCATAAAGCAATTTATAGTTCATAAAAATGACAAAATGTACCTGTCAGACAGAACCCGGAGAGCAGATCTCTGTGCTGCCTGCTGGAAGGAAGGGCAGAGATGTTTATTTTGTACTCTGACTTTTAAAATATGAGCTCAATCAAGACTTTAAAAACTGTGTCACATGCACTCTTGTCACGTGTCCAAATTTTAAAGCATTAACAAGTAGAAGTAAGCCCCAACACATATTGATATTTTCCATCTACAACATGTAATAACACTTTGTTAAGAATGCTATAAAACCAGAGAACTGTTAAAGCTCCGCGCAGACCTTTAAAACTGAGCGATCTTATACAGAAGATTAAAAATAAAAGCCTTGCAGGAATTAATTCCCTTTCTTCCCACCATCTCCTTTACCATTAGCCTCCTCCCATTCTTCCATAGAAACAGACATTACAGGTTAGGGTCCGTGGAATCTTCTGTAGTTAGTTACTGAATTGTTCCTTTAGCAAACTGTGAAAGAACTGCTGCAGACTTTCTAGGGCAATGTTGTGATTCATTGCTGGCAAATTTTGACTGTACGGCACACAGATCAGATGAATGATCCATTGATATTCTACCTCTCAGTTGTTGACTACTGAAAGTGATATGTTAATATCTTAGTGTGCTAATCTGTGGAATAATAATCATAGCCTCTCAAATTTAATTGGACATTAAAGCTTTCATTGACAAACTAGCTTTTTATTTCTTTACTGTCCTTTTGCTGAGATAAGTCTCCAAGAAAGTACAAGCAGGAATGGCTTCCTCAGAGTAACAAATTGGATATTCCTTATGTTATGATTAGGGAGAGGATTTCTATGACATTTCACATTTTCTCTGCAACCTACATTTGAACCCATAAGCAAGTTCAAACATGTTTATGAAATCTGGCCTTTCTCATCAGATTACTCATAAACGTGTTCAAGTACACCCATAAGCTCAAACATAGGTTGCAGGAAAAAATAGCATGTCATAGAAATCCTCTCCTTAGTTATCTTGGCTAAACGTTTGGTCTTGGCTATGACCTCCTGCATTCTAGAACTTTGCCATCTTGCTTTGAAACAGACCTAGTACAAAAGAATGACTCACTAAACAGCTGTCTCAAAGCCAAAGATATATACATCAACATATAACCAAAGATGTCCAATTATTATAAATACAATAGCCTCTGCTATATTTACTTAATTTTCAATGCACTCAAGGAAAAAGAGGGGATACATATTGCTAGATCTTCCCATTTTATTGTCATGCTGGGACATAGGTTAGTGAATACCCCTGAGTATATCAACTGAGTTTCAAGGTTGAGAAAGCATTTGAACCTAGGTGACCATCCTGGCCCAACAATCTAAAGATAGTCTTGGGTATCATTTCATCCCCAGCATAAAATTACATTTTTATTCCTAAAGACCACATCAGCACGTAGCTAAATCTAAGGTAAGATATGTGTTGGTTCTGCTGGACTTCTCAGTGGCTTTCAGTACTATCAACCGTGGCGCCCTTTTGGCCTGGTTCTCCACAATGGGACTTAGAGGCACTGTTTTATGGCAGCTCCAGTCCTTCTTGGAAGAGAGAACTGAGAAGGTGGTGTTGGGGGATTCCTGTCCAACACCCTGGCCACTGACCTGCAGGGTCCCTCAAGGTTCTGTTTTGTCTCCTATGTTATTTAACATCTACATGAAACTGCTGGGAGAGGCTGTCTGGAGTTTTGGGGTTTGGTATCCCCAGTATGTGGATGATACCCTACTCCATATCTCCCAAGTCCCCACCAAATTCAAGGAATCTGTTTCAGCTTTAGATATCTGGCACTGTATCAGCAATGGACTGGATGAGAGTAAATAAACTGAAACTTATTCAAGAGAAGAGAGATGTTCTGTTGGTCAGTTGAAAGGCAGATCAAGGAACAGGCATTCAGCTCGTGCTGGATGGAGTTACATTCCCTCTGAAAATATAGGTGCACAACTACGGGGTGCTCCTGGATTCACCTCTGAGCCTGGATGCCCAGGTTTTGGCAGTGGCTAAGACTGCATTTGCACAATTACAACTAGTGTGCCAGATGTATTCATTCTTGGAGAGGTCTGATCTGGCCAGAGTGACACATGCCTTTGTTACATCCCAGCTAGAATACTGAAATTTGCTCTACATGGTGTTGCCTCTGGATAGTGTCAGGAAACTTCAGTGGGTCCAAAATGTGGCAGTCAAATTGCTAAGTGGGGCTGGTTACAGAGATCACATTCCCCCCCTCACTGCCCGGTTACAGCAGTTCCACTGGCTGCCTGCTGATCCATTTCCAAGCAAAATTCAAAGTGATGGTGCTAACCTATAAAGCTCTAAACGGCTTGGACCCAAGCTATCTCAAAGACTGCCACTCCTTTTATGAGCCTGCTTAGGTGTTAAGATCATCAGGAGAGGCCTTTCTCTCCATTCCACCACCTTCACATGTGTGACGGCTTGGATCCAAGCTATCTCAAAGACTGTCACTCCTTTTATGAGCCTGCTTAGGTGTTAAGATCATCAGGAGAGGCCTTTCTCTCCATTCCACCACCTTCACAGGTGTGTTTGGTGGGGATACAGGAGAGGATCTTCTCTGTTGCTGCTCCCAGTCTTTGGAACTCCCTCCCCACGGGCCCTACCTTTGCTGTCCTTCTGCAAGCAGTGAAGACCTTTTCTTGACAAGGCAATTTGCCAGTATTACATTCTTGATGTCTACTGCATGTACTAGAAGTTGTTGCCGTTATGTGCCATCACGTTGTCTCTGATTTATGTGACCCTATGAATGAGTAGTCTCCAAAATGTCCTGTCCTCACTTAGAAGCACATGTAGGGAAACACCTCTTTTGAAAGTGTTAGCAGCGCAGGACACATGGAAGGGGCTCAGTTTCGAGATGCTGCAACACAAAGTTCTATCGCTGATGGGGCTCTACTTGGACGGAACTACTGTATACATTACCTCTGCAGCAGTATTCAAATGACCAGAATAATCCCTGAAGAATATCTTCCATCAAGAGTCATCCTTAGTTACAACCCCATTGCTTATTAAGATAAAGCAGATTTATTTTCCCCTTCACGGATTGCTGCCTTGTGGACGGAACTATACATTACCTCTGCAGCAGTATTCAAATGACCAGAATAATCCCTGAAGAATATCTTCCATCAAGAGTCATCCTTAGTTACAACCCCATTGCTTATTAAGATAAAGCAGAGCAGATTTCCCCTTCACGGATTGCTGCCTTGTTGTGGCAAATGGGCTTGAGTAATTCAGAAAATACTGCATAGGAACCTGGAAAGTAAGATCTATGAACCTTGGTAAGCTAGATGTGGTCAAACAGGAGATGGCAAGAATATACATTGACATCCTGGGCGTCAGTGAATTAAAATGGACAGGAATGGGTGAATTTAATTCAAGCGATTATCATATCTACTATTGTGGGCAAAAATCCCATAGAAGAAATGGAGTAGCCCACATAGTCAACAAAAGAGTGGGAAAAGCTGTAATGGGATACAATCTCAAAAATGATAGAATGATTTCAATATGAATCCAAGACAGACCTTTCAACATCACAATAATCCCAGTTTTTGCATCAAACACGGATGCTGAAGAGGCTGAAATTGACCAATTCTATGAAGACTTACAACACGTTCTAGAACTGACACTAAAGAAAGATGCTCTTCTCATTCTAGGGGACTGGAATGCTAAAGTAGGGAGTCAAGAGATAAAAGGAACAACAGGTAACTTTGGCCTCGAAGTTCAAAATGAAGCAGGGCAAAGGCTAATACGATTACCCCGCTCTTCGACGAATCCGCTTAACGTTGAAGTTTTTGCGATCGCTTTTGTGATCGATTCATGATGTTTAGATGGGGTTTTTTCGCTTAGCGATGATCGGTTCCCTGCTTTGAAACCTAGATAACATCTTAAAAAGCAGAGACATCACCTTGCCGACAAAAGTTCACATAGCCAAAGCTATGGTTTTTCCAGTAGCAATGTATGGAACTGAGAGCTGGACCATAAAGAAGGCTGACCACCGAAGAATTGATGCTTTTTAATTGTGGTGCTGGAGGAGGCTCTTGAGAGTGCCCTGGACAGCAAGGAGAACAAACCTATCCATTCTGAAGGAAATCAACCCTGAGTGCTCAGTGGAAGGACAGATCCTGAAGCTGAGGCTCCAATACTCTGGTCATCTGATGAGAAGAGAAGACTCCCTGGAAAAGACCCTGATGTTGGGAAAGTGTGACTGCAAGAGGAGAAGGGGACGACAGAGGACAGTGTCATCGAAGCTACCAACATGGGTTTGGGCAAACTCCAGGAGGTGGTGGAAGACAGGAGGGCCTGGTGTGCTCTTTCCCATGTGGTCACGAAGAGTCGGACACGACTTAACAACAAAACAACAACATGCACAGTAGTCATTGAAATCAACTTATGCCCAACATGCATGCACAACTCCCCCAAAAAGGCTCCACATAAGCAGTGGAACACAGCTATTTATAAGAAGCTGTGAAGTACAGTGGGGTCTTGACTTGAGAACTTAATCTGTATTGGAAGGCGGTTCTCAAGTCAAAAATTTCTCAAGTCAAATCTGCATTTCCCATAGGAATGCATTGAAAATCATTTGATCCGTATCTGCTCTTTTCCGTCCATAGAAACTAATGGGAAGCTGCTATTCCGCCTTCGACCACTA